CAAATATGGCCACAGCTTTTTCTGAGAAAAATAAAATAATTTTATCAGACTCTTTAATTTGGCTGTCATTATGGAATTTCAACAAAAATGGCCACAAATTGGGGCATTTGTGTCTCACGAAATGCTTTGAAAAAATTTGCATGTACCATATTTGTCTAAAGCAATGGGTACATATTAAGGCATATTCAGCCCTCAAACTTGAGCCAAACAAAGGTGCTTTGCTGCTTTAATTTTGAACATTGCTTACATCAAGTTGACATTGAAAAACTGCATGGAATCGGAGAAAAAAAATCTTTATCAAATTAAAAATATGTGTATGGTACCTACCATGATACAGTGAAATTAATTTTTCCAACTCTCTGTATATAGCGGATATACTTGAGATTGTGGTAACCAACCTTGGTACTTGCCATAAAGATAACATCGATGATGTGACGTCAACGATAGTATTCTACTGTGATAATGAGGCTGATCCTAGTCAGTTGGTAAGTTGTCAGTATATTGTGACATACTGTGAGGTTATTACGAGAATACCAACAATTATGCACGAAGACAGTACAGCGAGAGTATCGATCGTTGTGCAGTGGAGGTCGATGCGACGATGTACTGTCTGTCGGTATCCTCATAATAACCTTATTATTATACATCTTTTCCTCCCAATGATACATAATGGAAATGCACAAATCCAAAAAGTTTAGAACAGAATCAGTGCCCTGGTGGCAGCCATGTTTGTTTTTATTATTATAGGACGTTTATGCGCGTAAATCATTCCATATTTGGAATTCACATTTCCTAATTTGGTAGGATGAAAATACCCAGTAAAATACCGCAAAATCACGGCATAATGTACCTTGCGACGTTACGGTGACAAATGTATAATAATTTATTTTGTGTCCTTGTTTCTGTGCGATAGTACCGATATGCGTTTTTTGACGACTTGAGTTGCGTTTCTTTTCTTTTTTTCTATACTATACTGCACTTATAAAATATGCATGGTTAGACACTCAACCCATATACTGCCAATAAGTCGATGTAATCTCTAGCCAGAAAACTGTTACATGTTGCGTGCAGGATCGTTTTTTTCTTCTTTTTTTTTTTCATGTACAAAATTATTCTATATTTGCATATCAGTTAATAGCTGTATCATCTTTTCAGGGAGTACCAGAGTTTCAATACGAGTCAATGAACTGTCAGTACTTCTTCAATTGGCACACACCAGCTGTGTGCGTGCAGGCACAACTGTGAGTTACATAACAATAATATTTGAAATGTTGAATTCTTTAATTTTAGGATGATTAATTTAATAAAATAGTTGACATATAATTTTTATGTATTGCATTCAGACATTATTTCTGCCTTGTAACAAATGATTTTTGAAGATATTTCATTTGAATAATATTTCTCCAAAAATATGCAAATTGATAGTCACTGAGCACCATCTCAACACATCATATATTCATACAATTTATATGCACTTCTATACTATCTGTAAATTCATGGGATTTACATGTGATCTCATTAATATGCAAAAACGTTATTCTGGGCGATTTTTTTATTAAATACACTATGGATTAGGGCTCTTTGATTGACAATGACTTATTTTGTAGTGGGCATTTAGTTCTAGCTCATTCTACATAATCACGAACACCTTCAGTACATTACTTTTTCAGTTTTTTTTTGTTTTGCTTTTTTTTTGCAGAGAATCATCTATATCTAATCGACTTTCTGCCACAGTCAAGGACAATCCAGGAACCGTTGGCATAGTGATATTAATTGTCCTGCTTTCCATAACCATTTGTATCTTACTTATTGTCTTCCATAAACCAGAAAGAAGGTAAGTACTGATTGGTTGAATTTTGGTTGAAGATGATTGGTTATTTCAATAATTGTATGCAGACTATTGGTGCATGCATGTATTTAGGAGCATTAATAAAAATCACAAATAATTGAATAAGATTTTGATATTGATATGATCGTGATATTGATAAGATATCCATGATAATAATTATAATATGTTGATTTGGAACAGTATAACAATGCACCTTTCTTGCAATCAAGTAGTAACCTTAATTTGATTTGTCAAATGTACTTTATAGTGTATGTTTAACTACTGTAAAATACTTTATTTTCACCTGAAATTAATTTTTGCTATTTTTGCTGAAGGAATGTTTCAGTGAAAAATAAAATCCAGCGAATATACCTATATTTTACATTCAACTCATCACAAATCAGTGAAAATAAATTCCTTAAAAACACCCAAAATACCTTTTCAGCAAAAAATTAATTCCAGCTGAAATAAAGTATTTCACAGTATATCATCGACAACAGTCATCGCATTGCCATAAGTTACAGGGTGCCATGATTTTGTGGTATTGTACCCTACCTTATTAGGAAATGCAAATTCCAAATATGGGACAATTGCACTATATTTCCAAGGTGGCGTACATGTTCAAAACAACATTCATAGCTATTGTAAATTTACACACAAAGTATGCTCTCAGACAGTACATGGTCTCATGGACCTCCACTACATGTTAGTTGACACCTGTCAGCTCTGTCAGAGTTCTCCATTAATAAAAGAATAAATACATACCAATATGAGTTGTTAATTTCAGGAGTGCATTTGCTAGGAAAGTGAGAGGTTGCTGTTGTCCTGGATACACTGTACCCTCGTACAAATATTCAAAGGTAAGTTTATCAAAGTCTGTTGTTTTTATGCTTGCTTAAGGTAGCGAGACTATTATTTGTGTTGAAAATTACGATTTTCACATTTATTTAATAATTGATGAAATGCACTATAAACTTTCATATGATAAAGTCAACATAACATAGAATGTCATGTAAGTTGGTTAAAATGTATATTTTCTGAAGGGAAGCAAGGCAGCCTCAGTAGTGTTTTCCAAAATCAACAATACAGGTTTAATCTGTGTGCCTATAAGTTTCAAAGATAAACTCAAGACAAAGCAATGTTAGGATGTGTTATCAGTAGCTATCTGACACACAATGAGTGTTTCCAAACATTCGAGTGGTTTGTCTCCGCCCCTGTTTGTTTCACAGATTAGTCATTTGCATATGAATGTGTCAGACACAAGGTCACACAGCCACTGAAAAAAAATCATTGATTTTGGTGTTTTCATATGCCGAATTTATCCAATTATAGCTATCCCATTCCTTTATTTTTTTGGTTTCTAATAGCCTTACACATTTGGATGCCCCTACACATGGTAAAACAGACCTTGATGGGAAAACAAATTGATTGTGGCGATAACAAGCCTGAAAATCTTTGCTGTTACTTCATGGACGTTTTCTAGAGTTTACGTTT